TCATTCATTCATTCATTCATTCATTCATTCATTCATTCATTCATTCAAACAAACAGACAGGCATTTGTCTGAAGTGGTATAGAATCTCCTGCTTAAGCAGGGGGCTGGATTAGAAGACCTCCAAGTCCCTTCCAGCTCTATTCTGATTCTGATTCATCTTCTGTTCACTTCCTCACTCTTCTTTTCTATTTTTTCTCTCCCCTCTTCTCCTTTCTCTTTTTCCGATTGATCACAATGCTCCAAAGGTGGGTTTTTTCAGGATGAAACTGGACTTTCTGGTTTTTCTTTGAAGATGTTTCGCTTCTCACCCAAGAAGCTTCTTCAGCTCTGACTGGTGGTGGGAAATGAAAGGATTTATACTCCTTGCAGACAGCTGGTCATTTGCATCCTTTTAAAGGGTCGTTGAGGCCACTTGGAGGCTTGTCTGTGTCAACAGGGTCACCTGAGTAGTGCAAATGGGTATGGAGCCTTCTTGGCTGCAGGATGTTTTCTGCCCTGTGATGACTCCCTAAAAGAATGCATAGGACCAGCTCTCTGCAAGGTATATAAATCCTTCCATTTCCCCACTATCCAGTTAGAGCTGAAGAAGCTTGTTGGATGAGAAGTGAAACATCTTCAAGAAAAAAAAAATAGTCCAGTTGCCTCCTGAAATAGCACCTTTGGGACAACCATGACCTGGATTCTCCATAGACAATTGATTCCAATATTAGCTTTTAATAATAGTTTTTTTTCCTTCCTAAAATTGCTCCCAGGTGGAAGAAGCATTAAGTGAAGCTGATTTTCAGCTTAAGCTGGACCTGCTTTTTACAGACAGTGAACAACAGTGAGTAGTATGCCCTTTTAAGGTGAAACGTTATTCTCTTGCAACCAGGACTCTGACGGCATTTTAAAATTAAGAAATAAGTTGTCCTGAACTACAGTCTGTTAAACAAATACCTGGAGCATTAGGTTTGTACAAATCAGTTATTAGATGTAGAGGAAAGAATCATGAAAAGAATGTAGGGGAACAATCCTATAGATAACCCCCTCTGTTCCATCAGTACCCTGATGACTCAATAAAAAAAAGCATGCTCACATAAATATTACCACTTTTTAATGGTTTACTTTCCTCTTTACAAGAGCAATTTAGGATCATAATCTAGTGTATGTTGACAGTGTCTAATAAAATGGCACTGTTGGAGGAGGAGGAGGAGAAAGGGGGAGAAGGAGGAGGAAGAGAAAAAGAAAAGGCAGAACAAGCAGAGGAAAGGAGGAGAAGGAAGAGGGGGAGAAAAAGGAGGACCAGGAGAGGAAGGGGGAGAATGAGAAGAAGGAAGACAAGAAGAGAAAGGGGGAGAAGGAGAAGAGGAGAAAGAGGGAGAAGGAGAAGAAGGAAGACAATAAGAGGAAGGGGGAGAAGGAGAAAGATAAGAGGAGAAAGAGGGAGAAGGAGAATGAGGATAAGAAGAGAAATGGGGATAAGAAGAGGAAGGAGGATAAGAAGAGGAAGGGGGAGAAGGAGAAAGAAGGACATGGAGAGGAGGGGGAGAAGGAGAAGAAGGAGAACAAGGAGAGAAAGGGGGAGAAGGAGAAGTGTACAAAGGAAATGAAAAGTAAAACAAAAGATGACTGCAGGAACAGTAGGAGACAAACCATTTGAGGATTCTCAGGGCAGTATCAAGAAATTGACCCTGTTGTTGTCATAATTACAATGTAGAGAGTTGAGCTGCAACCTCCAAAGTATGACTCACTGCTAAGAGAATAACAGCCCATGATCAAAATTCCGCTCACACCTGAAACTCTGCAGCAGCAACCGTCTCGCTGAACAAGCCAATGCCTCACTTTTCTCAACTCTTCCATCCTCTCCTTCCAGGCTGAGAGACGTCCTGACCATCCCGGTAATAAGCAGCCGCACATTGGGACTCCACTTCCACCCCAGGCAAGGCCTACATCACCACGTCCCTGTCATGTTTGACTACTTCCACCTGTCGGCAGTCACGGTTACTCTGCATGCCTCTCTGGTGGCTTTAAACCAGCCCCTCCTCAGGTACAGTGAACCACCACATTCCTAAAGAGACAATGCAAGAGGGCTTGGCAAATTCTTCCAAAGTTACTCGCATCCTTCCCTGATAAGTTATGTTCCCCAATAAATCAGCTTTCTTCAAATCCTTAAATCAGACACATCTTTATTTCAATATCCAAAGCAAAGTCAAGTGGCCTTGCCCTGCAGTCCATGATGGAAAGAACCAGGAGGATCTTTCAAAAAAAAAAAAAAAAGAAAGGTGGCCAAACCTGGAAAAAGACATGTGTCAACTCGTAAACATTCCTGGCCTGCTCTTGAGTTGCCATAGGCAGTGGTGGGGAGAACTGATGGAGAAGCTAAGTTGCTTTAACCAGAAGCACATTTCACACATACCTTTCTTCAGATTGTATCCCAGGTTACTAGAGGAAGCCAGAGAGGCGTGTTTTCTACAGTCTATGAAAGTGCTCCATTGGAGAATGTGATTTATGACACACCCTGGGAGAATGGGGGAAACAGGGTCATAGGTGGGCAGTAAATTACATGGGGCAGAGCCAGACTGCACTTGGGAAAGTGCCGACATGTTTCTCCTAATAAATAATTGGATTTCTTTTGAAACTTGGCTCAAGGCTCATGAATTAATTAGGGCATCTGTTGGAACCCTGACAACATGGCTGTTTTAATGATTTGAAGAAAAGTCTTTTGCATGGCTAAAAATCATTTCTGAAGGACTGGCCCAGCCCTGAACAATAATTTTTCATTCTTCACTCCAATGCAGTCCTAGGCTGCATTAATAGAGGGATAGAACACAGTCATTTGAAGTGCTAATACCCCTTTATAAGGGCTTGGTAAGTTCACGTTTGGAATACTGCATCCAGTTCTGGTTGCCACGATGTAAAAAAAGATGTTGAGACTCTAGAAAGAGTGCAGAGAAGAGCAACAAAGATGATTAGGGAACTGGAGGCTAAATATATAAAGAACAGTTGCTGGAATATGTTTAGTCTAATGAAAAGAAGGACTAGGGGAGACATGATAGCAGTGTTCCAATATCTAAGAGGCTGCCATAAAGAAGAGGGGGTCAAGCTATTCTCCAAAGCACCTGAAGGTGAGACAAAAAACAATGAATGGAAATTAATTAAGGAGCAAACTAACCTAGAACTAAGGGGACATTTCCTGACTAATAGAACAATTAACCAGTGGAACAATTGCCTCCAGAAGTTGTGAATGTTCCAACACTGGAAGTTTTTAAGAAGAGATTGGACAATCATTTATCTGGAATGGTGTAGGTTTTCCTGCCTGAGCATATGGATTGGACAAGAAGACCTCCAAGGTCCTTTCCAACTCTATTATTCTGTTATCTGATATTTTAATTTTATGAACTGTCATCTAGTTGTCTTTGGGCAGCACATAAATCAAATAAATAAATAAAACTATGGAGTTTGCTCCCTGTTTATACACAGTAGCTCTTCCCCTGCCAGTTTTGGTTAGGTGTGTTTTTTCTTGGTGATTCCTTGAGCAAGGAATCGAATCAAGGGTTTAGCTATCAATATTCTCCTCCGTGGAATATTTTTTTTCAGTTTCTGCTTCTTCCTAAACAGCTTTACAGGCATATAAAAATAATCAATTATTCCTAGTGCAGAAAGGAAGTGAGGGAGATTTTGATTGTGAAAAAAATATTCGTACCTTCCTGAGCTTTTCACATCTTCTCTTTTTGTTTAGTTTTGCTCGGCCAGGAAGATCTTCCTGGCTTGTTAAAGGCAACTTGGATACGGGACCAGATTTAACTGGGATGTCGCTAGAAAACCTGGTTTTCGGAGCAGGCTACTGCAGACCAACAACTTCAGAGGTAAAATGCTGTGTTGCTTGGAGGTGTTGATAACACTCTAAGGTTAACTTGACATTCTGTAGAAAGGGCTACCAAGCTGTCAATGAATGGCATTTCTTAAAATTACAGTAGTCCTACACTTATAACCATTTGTTTAGTCACTGTTCAAAGTTACAATGGCACTGACTTATGACCATTTTTCACTTATGATCATAGCAACATCCCCATGGTTACATGATCAAAATTCAGAGGCTTGGCAACTGACTCATATTTATGACTGTTGCTGGATCCCAAAGTAATGTAATAACCTTTTGCGACCTTCTGACAAGCAAATTCAATGGAGAAACCAAATTCACTTAACAACTATGATACTAATTTAACAACCACAGTGATTCACTAATAGCTGTGGCAAGCAAGGTCATAAAATTGGGTGAAACTCACTTAATAACTCACTTAGCAACAGAAAATTTAGGTTCATAAGTCGAGGATTGTCTATGATTATTACGCTTTCCTATGCTCACCGATGAAACCAGGCAATTGAGTCAATATTTTCTATTGTATCAGTTGAGCTGAAGGTCGTTGCTATTTAGTTCTCAAGGGATGAGTTGCTCACTATTCACTTAGCCAAAATATTTGAATATGCAAAGCTTATAGCAATAGCACTTAGATTTATATACCGCTTCACAGTGCTTCACAGCCCTCTCTAAATGGTTTACAGAGTCAGCCTATTGTCCCCCAACAATCTGGGTGCTCATTTTACCAACCTCAGAAGGATGGAAGGCTCAGTCAACCTTGAGCCTGGTGAGATTTGAACTGCCAAATTGCAGGCAGCTGGCAGTCAGCAGAAGCAGCCTTCAAGTACTGCATTCTAACCACGGTGTTGGCATGGCTCTATCCAACTTACAAGGCCAACTTATTTTAGGGATGGATGCTAGATTTCCTCAATGGATGTTAACGGTTAACTCTGCCACTTATTCTTTTGATATGACTTGTTTACAAAATATTTATTCTTATGACTTTTATTTCTTTTATCAAGAGCTCCCATGGTGCAGTGGTTTAGAATTGCAGGCTAACTCTGCCCATTGCCAGAAGTTCAATCCTGATTGGCTGAAGGTTGACATCCTCCCATCCTCCTCCCATCCTTCCAAAGTTGGTAAAATGAGGACCCAGATTGTTGGGGGCAATATGCTGACTCTGTAAGCTGCTTAGAGAGGGCTATAAAACATTATGAAGTGGTATATAAGTCTCAAGTGCTATTTATTTAGTATATGGCATACAATGTCAGGGAAATCTATACATGATAGATACACAATGCAATCCCCACAGCCTGGAATACTAGTTCATTCTGTTTAGCACTTATATGCCTATCCTTGGTGCACTGTAGGGATTGTCATGCCCCTGTCAAAGTCTGAATCTGAGGAGAAAGCCAAACAGCTGGCAGGGAGTGGGAGTGTGACTCCGTTGGCTGTAGAGGCTGGGGAAGTCTGGCTGAGCAGAGCAGGGGAGAGGTAAAACAAGGGAGAGGGAGTTCAGAGGAAGACCCAGGGCCACCCCCTCTTCATCCTAGGGCATGCAGGGAGGAACGGAAAAGAGAGCAACGTTGGTTGTGTGGCTTACAGGAGAGGAAAGGGCCCTGATTCCCTTCATTAGCCACAGCTGAGAAGACAGTTGATAAGAAAGGCAGACTGCGTGCGGCAGGCTGCTGGGAGCAAATGTGACTTTATCCTGTGTTGTCATGGCTTATCTGAGTTCCTGGCATTTTGCTGTGCCTTCAAGTCTGAAATTCTTGCTCCTGACCTGCCAAACTAATTACTTCAGTTTGGCTTGTTTGGACTTTTAGTTACAGTTTGTGTTGCTCCTGTTTTGGATTTAATTTTCTGCAGTCAAAGCTGTTCCTGGGAGTTTTTCTCTAGCCGAAGGTAACCTGGATATTGGGGGCAAAGTTGGAGATAATAAAGGGTCTTTTATTGCTTATCTGACTGTGTTGCCTTTGTGCCACGCCCCTTTGGGTCATCACAGGGATGAACTAGCTTTATACCACCTAACTGGAGGCTTTCAGGTTGCTGGCCCTTTGGACCTCCTCTGCCAGTTGCGCATCACCTTATCTCATATTGCATCACCTCACATCCAAGACTGACTCGCACTTTCACCTATATTCTGCTTCACTCGCAGCTGGACAAAGAAAAGGGAAGTAGGTGGAATGGAATGCAAGGGTGGGGAAAATGGCATCCAAGCAAAGTTAGTTCCCATGAGATGTTGCTCCAACTTCAAGGACAGTCCGAGCAGATGTCCCAGCATGGTCAGCTGGTTCCCATAACAAAATGAACAGAAGTGATTGGTGGACATAATGGACTGTGGGGAAAGGGGGAATGCTTTTGCACAGGAAGCCCAGAGCTGGTTTCGCATCTTCTGTGCTAATGTGATTTATTCAGTAAAGTTTATACCCTTGGTAAAATAATGTCCAGGAGTTTCTTTTTCTGGATTTGCCAACTGAACAATTGACATGTGCATTTCACTCTCCGCACACACAAACACAGCTAGGGTTTTCCCACCAAAGTGGTACCCATTTATGTACTAGCAATATTGCATGTTCTGAACTGCTGGGTGAGGAGTTAGGGGTTGAGCAACGGGAGCTCACTCCATCTCATGGAGCTGGACTCAAACCGCCAGAGTGCAGGCCAGTTCTGGCTGACAGTTCCAGCGTCATTAATCTTCTGCGCCACTGTGTTCCCTTGGTGGCACTTTATCCCTCACACAAACATATACTGTCTACCTGTCACTATTGTTCTGATTTAATTAATCATTTTCCACTGCCTAGAAATCAATTGACATTTTTCAAATTTCCCCTTGGATGCTAAAAAAAAAAAAAATCATTTGGAATTGGACTGCATTGGCAAAGTGAGCCAAACAGAAGCAAGTTATTTACGTAGTTGCAATTGGCTCAGATTTTATGGAAATAAGTTTGGCCCTTAGGTTAGGTAAATGCTGCCATTGATTTACTAGAGATTGTTTTTAATGGTTGATTTCTATTATTTATAAAGGTGTTTAAGGTGTTTCTTTGGGATTTTGTTGTATCTGTTCAGATCAGATTGGAACATCAGTATTGGGTAAATGAATACATAAAGGAATAAGAAACTGTGACTTTTTGAATATTTAGAAATGTCCTGAAAGGTTGCAAATCAAGCTTCTGAATATCATAATTATCTGGACTCAATTTGCTAACACATTGAGTAGTATATGGATAGTTAGATCATCATTAAAGTATTACATAAAAATTGTAAGTGGGATTACAAGTAATCCTTGATTTATGATAACAATTGAGCACAACATTTATGTTGCTAAGTGAGACATTTAAGTGAGTTGAGTTTGCCCCATTTTATGACTTTTCTTGCCACAGTTATTAAGTGAATCATTGCAGTTGTTAAGTTAGTGACGGTTGTTAAGTGAATCAGGCTTCCCCATTGACTTTGCTTGTCAGAAAGTCACAAGAAGGGATCACATAACACCACAATTGTTATAAATATTCATTTCAGTGGTTAATTATTCTCACGGTTAGGAAATCTCTCCTTAGTTCTAGATTGCTTCTCTCTTTGTTCAGTTTCCATCCATTATTTCTTGCCTTCTGGTTCTTTGGAAAATAGATTGACTCCTTCTTTGAGGCAGCCCTTCAAATATTGGAAGCCTGCTATCATGTTACCCCTAGTCCTTCTTTTCATTTGTTCTTCTTCTTGTGCCATATCCGTCATTGGACGTTGGCGATCAAGTTGGCGATCCTATCTTTTCACTAGATTAGACAAACCCAATTCCTGCAAGCATTCTTCATATGTTTTAAGTCCCTCCCCCTAATCATTTTTGTTGCTCTTCTCTGCACTCTTTCTAGAGGTCAACATCTTTTTTTATATTGTGGTGAACAAAACTGGATGCAGTATTCCAAGTGTGGCGATATTAAGGGTTCATGAAGCAGTACTAATACTTCATGTGATTTTGATTCTATCCCTCTATTAATGTAGCCCAGGGTTGCATTGACTTTTTTGGCAGCAGCTACACACTGTTGGCTCATATTTAAGTGATTCTCCAGTAGGTCTCCAAGATCCCTCTCACAGTTATTGGAATTGAGCCACGTTTGACCTTGTCTGTACTTTTACAGTTGTTGTTGTTGTTTGTCTAAGTGTAGAACCTACACTGAATTTCATTTTGTTACAATAGGGCCAGAGGTGGTATTCAGCAGGTTCTGACCAGTTCTGGAGAACCGACAGCAGAAATTTTGAGTAGTTTGGAGAACCAGCAAATGCCACCTCTGACTGGCCCCGCCCCCATCTCTTCTCTGCCTCCCGAGTCCCAGCTGATCGGCGGGGTCTTCTTTTGTTGTCCTGCATAGGGGAACAGAGCTGGAAAGCAGGTTAGTGGAGTGGGGAGGGAATGGGATTTTGCAGTAACCTTCCCCTGGAGTGGCGTGGGAATGAAGATTTTCCAGTAGCCTTCCCCTACCACTCCCACCAAGCCACACCAACAGAACCGGTAGTAAATAAATTGAATCCCACCACTGAATAGGACCCAGTGTTCAAGTCTGCCAAGATCCATCTTGATTTTGAGCCTTTCTTCTGGGGTCTTAGCTATTCCTGTATCTCCGTGCCTTTCCTAACCAAAATAGGCAATTTAAGGACAGACTGACTCTACTCCTCAAAGTTTAATAGCAAGGAAATGCTACATGGAACAGATGGTGGAAGGAACAAGGTGTTTTTGTCCGATGAATTTGCATTTCCTTGCAAAGGCTGGGTTTCCTTGACAGTCTTACTATATTTGAAAAGTGACAGCCGTACAAGTAATGATGACAGGCCAAGTTTTGATCTCCCCAGCTCCTGGGCCTGATTTATTTAATTTCTTTTGCACAATGTAGATGGGTTCAGCAGAAATTAAGTGTTGCTTTCCAGTTAGCTGAAATGGTGTGGGTTACAGAGGTAATTGAGATAACGAGCTTCATTCTCAAAGGCAGAGAACTCCCTGAATTGATATTTATTGAC